GTGAAGAAATATTTTGGCGATACTGCATAAGTGTTACATTGATAGGTGTTTATCCAGTGAAGGGTACTTCCCTCTTAACAATACTAGAATCAGCTCACAAAGCTTGTCTGCTATGAAAACCAACTTGTTCTTCACAGCAGTTTCACTCTGTGACTGAAGGCATCTACTTTTGGATTACACTGGCTATGTGACTATTTGCACTCTTAAGAGTTGCAACTTCACTCTAGAGCATAGACAAATTTATCTTGCTTTCTCTACATACATGACTGTACTCGTCTGTCAATCTGATACCTTAAATCAAAAATATCCTCCAAATGAAATATTCAGATTGAACCCTGAAAATACCAAACTATTATAGCCTTGCCATTTAACTAGGAACAGGTTTCAAGAAGCTGCAGATTTAATGTTGCTAAGTAAAATACACTGATGGTAACCTTGTCTTGCTTACGCTCACCGCAGAATGGTATGGGCTACCCAAAACTGAACTTGTGTGTGTTTTGAGAAAAGAAACAAAATGACAATGTTTCAACAGGATTTTGATCTAAAATTTAATATTCAAGATGAGTTGTACACTTTGGCTAAGGACTGTTGACCACAGTTACTTTGTTAGTGACCACTGACACCCTTGGCACTGAAAACCACAACTGAGATGACAGAACAACAACTGCAGAATAACCTGGCTGAATAACATGAATCTTTAATCCTACAGTTTCCTTTTTTTGGAAGAACTGTTTGGTTAAAATCCTAGATTATAAACCAGAAGGGAAAAAAATACCCTAAACCAAACCTTCGTGACTTGCATTTTTAGAACAGAATTTTGCCCTTTTATTTTAAAAAGAAGACAAAACTGAATCCAACGTGGGATTTTTTTATTCTCATTTAAAATTTGAAACTTTACAAACAATTTTGTTTGTGATTTGAGTTATGGTAAGTAGCCACACAAATGGGCAGAATGGTATCTTCAGTGTTATTAATTGAGGAAAATATTTCAATTTTATAGGTAGTGAAGACAGATGTATCTGCACCAAGCATAACAGTTTATATTCAAACAATAAAATAAAGAACACGTTTTACAATTAGTAAGTTTTTCACATATTCTACTTTAGCTGTCTTTTTCTTGGAACTCATATCAACACAAGTGAAGTGAGCTTTCCTTAAGGACAGCTAGAATTGCCAAGGTAATAAATTAAAATCTAAATCACTCTCTGATATGTATATTCAAAATACTGTAAACACTTCAATACTGCACATTGGAGCTCATATATTTCTGTATTATTTTAATAGAGACTGTGCAACATTGGAAGCAGAAGCATCACTGCTGCTCATGCAAACAAGCTCTGGTCTCACAGCACCTCTGGCAAGATGAATGCTGCCATGCCTAGCTTTGATTGAACAAAGCTCTAGAACCTTCATCCTGCTTGCAGATGTACAGCAGATGTGTAGTTACTAATATTTACTTTAGAACCCTATTTTCTGCACATTTACATTCCAGTACTGAATGGCTCCATGCTGCTACAAAATCTATGTCCCTAACTCAATAGAAGTTATTTAGAGCACTACCTTTTATATAGACGAGGAGCCTTTGGACCCTATCACAGCACAGAGCACTTGCATTTGGTCTGAATAGAAATCCACCTAGCCGTGCATCTTTTCTTGGATAGTGGCCAAAGCAGATTCAAGAGAGTAAAAACAGTGCGAATATATTGCACTTTCCCTGCATTATATCCATTTTGACAAAAAGCTGTGGAAGAACTAGAATTCGTTCATAAGAAAACAGTAATTTCTACAATGTACAATCCGGTTGCATAGCTGTTGAACTGACAATTCAACAGCTTAAAACATGAATAACTAAAAGCTTGGGTGAGAATGTTTACTGTTTCATCCTCCAGTTTTATGGATCAGGTTAGGATTAAGCTTAGGGAAGATCAATAAACAGTCACTTTGGAATGATGGTTCAAAAAGATCTCTGTCATTTGGTGTAGAATCATAGGACCTCTGTCATTTGGTTTATAATCATAGAAGTGTAGAATCATAGAATAGTTAGGGTTGGAAAGGACCTTAAGATCATCTAGTTCCAACCCCGCTGCCATGGGCAGACACCTCACACTAAACCATGTCACCCAAGGCTCTGTCCAACCTGGCCTTGAACACTGCCAGGGATGGAGCATTCACAACTCCCTTGGGCAACCCGTTCCAGTGCCTCACCACACTCCCAGTAAAGAACTTCTTCCTTATATCTCATTTAAACTTCCCCTGTTTAAGTTTGAACCTGTTTCCCCTTGTCCTATCACTACAATCCCTACTGAAGAATCCAAATTTTGACCTCAGGCTATGCCCTTACCATATACACAATCACAGAACATCTCAAGCTGGAAGGGACATATAAGGATCCTTGAGTTCAACTCCCTGCTCCTCGTAGAACTACCAAAAAAAATAAACCACATGACTAAGAGCGTCATCAAGATGTTCCTTGTCTGACAGACTTCGTGCTATGACCACTTCCCCAGGGATCCTGTTCCAGTGACCAACCACCCTCTCAGTGAAGAACCTTTTCCTCATTTCCAGTCTGAACTTCCCTTGATGCAACTTCATTCCATTTCCTTGTGTTCTGTTGCTTGTCACCAGAGAGAGATGAGCACCTCCTCCTCTGCTGCCCCTCTTGAGGAAGACTTTTAGACTATGATGAGGTCACCCTCAGCCTTCTTTTCTCTAAGCTGAACAGACCAAGTGACCTCAGCTGCTTCCTGCAAGTCTTGCCCTTGAGAACCTTCTCCATCTTGGTCTCTGTCTTGGCTCTGGACACTCTTAACAGCCTAAGGTACAAAACTGTGCATGATACTTGTGCTGGGCCACACCACTGCAAGATACGTGACAAACACTTCCCTCAAACAGCTATGTATGCTGTGCTTGATGCACACCCCCCCCCCCACCCCCCCCCCCCGGTTGGTCCTTTTGGCTGCCAGGGCACACTGCTGACGCATATTCAAATGGCCATAAACCCAGACCTCCACATCTCTTTCTGCAGGACTGCTCTCCAGCCTCGCATCACCCACTTTGTATGTATAATCAGGATTAGTCCATCCCAGGTGGAGAATTCTGCACTTGCTCTTGTTAAATTTCACCAGTTTGGTGACTGCCCAGCTCTCTGGTCTATCCAGATTTCTCTGTAAGACCTCTCTACCCTAAAGGGAGTCCGCAGCTCTTCCCAGTCTACTGTCATCAGTGAACTTATGTGTGAATATTTGATTCTTGTATCCAGATCATTTATAAAGACATACATATTGTATATTGTGCAAAGTATATTGTCATAAGCATTCAAAAGGCTTATGCCAAAAGCCTTTTGGCTCATACTCTTCCAATGGAAGAAAGCAGGAAATCACAATCAAAAGACTTGATGATTTAAGGACTTTATTTGTATCTTTTAATAAAATTTTGAACTTATCCATGCATCCTGATATCATCTTTATTAAGAAATCTTCCCATTTTACTGTGTCTTAAAATGAAAATGCTTCAAGATGTAAGCTAAACAGAACGCCAGCCACTTCAAATAGATGCGCAACTATGAATAGAAGAAAATTATGCAAAAGTCTCATCAGAAGACAGCACCCCAGAGATCTTGGTCTGTTCTTCAAGGGTTTAGCAGTTAACAATTTGGAACACCAGTAGGACCATGAGACAAGAAGTCTGCAGCTAACAGCATCTATTTTAAAACTATGAAGCAGTCCAGCCACACTGGGTCTTTTAAGACCTGCACCTTTCAGTTGGTTTTTAGATTTGAGTCCTTCCCCAGCTCTTACTGCTCAACAGAAAAAATAAAAATAGCCCCCCAAAAATGTATTAAAAAAACCCCAAAGCTAAATAATAGCTATACCATGATAAATTTCATTCTGCAAAAATTGTATCTTTAAAAACTTTCTTCTTTGAGTCTTCCAAGGTTTTTCTCCATATTTCACTTCTGGCCCCAGAAATTCAAATTATTGAAGAAATCTAGCCTCTCCCCCACGTATTTCCCATTAAACTTAGGGTATCTCACATCTTAAGGAGTTTATTTCAGTAGATCAGCTCCCATTCTTTATTGGCCTGTTAACATCTTGACTCCAATTGTTACTAGGGAAGTAAACAGGCTTCAGAACAGCAAATCAGCTGGGACAGGGTTAAAAAAGTATACAGCAGAGCTCCTCCTTGCCCCACCACTATAGAAATAACCTTAAAAATAAATAAAGTATTACAATTTTGTTCAAACACCAAAAGGGGACTGAAGAATAAGGGAATATAATGCCTCTTTCCCTGCAGCCAGTAACACATTAACTTTGAGGAAACATAGCCAGCCCGACCAATATTACTATATTTATGCCTTGATAACTAGATACATACAGAATTCACAATTTTCATTCATTTTAATTAACTAGAATTTGAACATTCCGTCTGCATTATTGAGATTCCTGTGGAAACTACAACACATTTAAAAAAAAATTAGGTTTCTAGGTCATAATGCTTGTATTCATTCTTACAGCAGTAGCTAAAAATTAATGTAACTGCCAGATGCCAACTACATTCACAGGAATATTACCACACCTTTCATAGTAACCTGCTTCTGATGTCACTTCTTCATTTCAGAGTTACAGCAAATTTAGTATTTGACCTAGTTTATAGAGTATAAAAGTAAACAAGGCTACCTAAAGGTGCTGTTTCACCACAGGTCTGAATGCTGACACCATGTGGACTACAAGAGCAGTACCCTAAAGTCAGTGAGCAACATCTGTTCATGCAAGCTGAAAATGGATGTCTCAGACTCACTCAACAGTTATAACTGGCAGTCTTACCAGCAAGAAGATGTTGAAGTACAGTGTTTTACAAGATTATATTAATATCCTTAAAATCTATGATGTTGAAGTACCACACTGAAGACTAGGAACACTGGAAGCATTTTTTATTTGTTCACTGAAGTTTACATAAAACATATTAATTCAGTTAAAAAAAAAAGTCTAAACGCAAAAGGCAGTAGTTTGCCTTTTTATTTGTAAAGGATAAAGCACCTCCTGAACTAATATCAAGTTCTAACAATTCTGAGGAGTCCACAGATGCTATGTTAACTTAAAATTTAATATCAGCAAAAAAAATATGTCAACATTCCAGGTAACTGTAGAAAAAGTGTATACCACACTTATGGCATACAAGATTTGAAACCAGAAAAAAAATACCCTGTTTTAAAAGTAATCTCCCTTCCAAATAGGTTTTCATTTCAGTGCACTCTCCCTCTGTAGGCTTTACATTTAGAATCCTTTATATACAAAAAGGTACAACAAATTGGTACAGTGTTTATTGCAACAGATTAGGATGCCATAATATATACAAATTAAATTAGTCCCCCCAGTTTGCATACCCTCTTGCTTCTTATTCCTTGCATGAAGCAGTCTCCTTCTCTGGTTCTAAGATTAAGTTCCTTCACTGAAAGGCACGTACTTCTCTACAACAGAAGGAACAGATGCATTAATCTGAAATACCCTGTTTCAAGAGGAACTTTAACCTACATTTTGGAATATCAAACATTACAAAAACCCCACTGAGACATAACATTGTATTATTAAATTGGTATGTAAAAACTCAGAGTTACCATACGACTTTGAACTGAAGTGCCATAAAACTCCATTGATTTAAACTTCCTAAACAGACAGCTCACTTGCAAAAAAACCTGCATTTTTACCTTACTGGATATACTTCTAAGCTTCCAAGGCTCCCCCATTCCTGTTCATACTTTGGTAACTGGTGATAGCAACCCATAACTGGTAGGCTACCAAAAACTGAGTAACTACTTTTCCTTGTGCCTTGCAGTGCAGCAAGTAGTTTATGTGTAACATGATTTAATGAGAATTGCAATTTATATTAATGTGATATGCTTTACAAAAATAATAGAATACTACACTTCAGTTGACACATAGGTAAAGCTGCATGGTGAGAAACCAAAGGTTAGAATTTCAAGCTTTGATATTTAATAGTATGCTACTGAACAGAATGGCTAAAACATCCCATCCAGGTAAGCTGCCCCAAACTGAAGAGGCACATAGGCTAGTTACATGGATGATAACAGTGAAAGTACACTTAAATGGCACCTATGTTACAACCAAGGGCACAGGACTTTATTTTCATACAGCTGTGGAAAAAAAACAGCAACAGTGGAAGTAATCATTTTATCAGGACACCAGGATAGTAACACTGCTATGCTGATTTCAGGAAAGAAGCCAGTTTCTCTGCCTAGCCTTCAGAAGTGTCAAACAGACTTACCAGCTAAAAACAACCCTGTAGGGATTTCTAACATGCACATACTGTGCTGTAGAGTATTACTTTAAAAGCAACTTGATTATTTTAGTCAAGAAAAATGAAAGCAGAGTTGATACTACTGCAGATTATTAACAGGTCACAAAGAAAGAAGGAAAAAACACATCTGTTTTCTGTAGAACAATACTTATGTAATTTTTTGTCCATAACAAATGTATATGAACCTACCAGAACATGCAGATTCCTGTAAATGTGTTTAGTTTTTTATTTCTTTCCATTATGAGTTAAGAGGGTTAGAAACTTAAACTGAATAAGCTGCTGTTGACTGTAGTTGAGCAAAACTGCAACTTTGATTTACTCAACAAAGGACTAAAATGAAAAACCATTAAAGGCCACTCTTCCTTGTTTCCTAATTAGTAGCTCCAAGTATGACTGCATATTTATTCTACCTTAAGAAAACCAACCAACCATACCTCTAAATTACCGCAAATATCATGACAAATGTAATGATATCTCCTGAGAGTATATGAGTATCTCATCAAGTGTCCTCAGTGACTCTTGGATTAGTTATGCATTTCGTACTCCCTTTGGTCATTCTTGGTTAAGAAGTGACATGAAGACTGATTACTAGGCTTCAGTCCAGATGCAAAAGACTTAGTTGAAACAAGGAGAAAGAAATTATCTGAAAGAAATACATTCCCAATTAAGGATTTAAAAATAAATAAATAAAGTACTCTACATTAATTTCCGAACTTCCCTCCCAGCAGTGATGTTGTTTCATGTTTTGCAAAGTTTGGACAGTATTTTATACGGCTGCTCTGTAGAGATTTGTGGGGTGCATTCACACTGTTTAGCACTGTCTTCCTCCTACACATAGTGTTTCAAGAAAAAAAGTAACTTAAAAATATTTGAGACACAGCAAGTTCTCAATACACATAAACAGAGTATATCTATGTTATTGACTAAACATAACTGAAGTCTTTGTTTTCTGAAGCTTCTAATATAATATTATGACTTTGATAATTTAACAACTTACTATACTTTCTGAGCTATCTTGAAATAACATCTTCCTTTATTATTAATAGTTATTCTCTTCTAAAGGTATTACTTCTTATCTGCTTAGACAGTTCCCTTCAGCAAATTAATAGAAACATGTTGAAATTCAGTTTGGTTAGATCACTCAGTTACACCAATACAATTACTTTTCTTGCAGTTTGATTGAGAGGTTGACATTATCATCTCTTCTGTGAGAAACATTAAATTTGAGGTCATCTTGGAGCTTTATAAATAAAGGTCTGCCTATACCACAAGTTACACCACTCTGTATTCACTGCAGACTATGCCATCTTCAAGCACTACATGTCACATCACTCTCCAGTTTTTCTGGTCTATGTGGACTTGATCAAAACATCAGGTATTGCTTTTTCATCCAAATCTGATCTTCTTAAAATCAAACCCTACTCATCTAGTGGTTCCTTCATCAACAAGATACCACAGCGACTGAAGAACTGTACTAAATGATATTTGATGTATCTTACAATACCTATGCCATCAGCTAAATAAAACACTAATACTGTATTCAAACTGTCTGTATTATATATCATTCAAAAGACTATTTCTGAAACAGCCTGGATCAATAATCTACCTTCAAACTGCCTGGTGTAGCTGAGCTAAACGATTTTACCACAGCACTTCAATTTTAAGAGGAGATGAGTATTTGGAATTTAGGACAGGGTAGAGGGGTTTTCTGTGGGCTTTTTGTTTTGTTTTGTTGGCTAGTTTTTTTTCCAAATACAGCACTAACAATATGATTTTTTTTTTTTGGTAGTCATCATAGTTAAGGGCAAGCGCTGTTGTCTATGGTTATGAACAGTTTGCTTTAATGCAAGTTAATTTCTTAATCATAGTAATTTCTACCACATAACCATAGAAAGTGCAGTGGCAAAAAGATTATCTTTGGACATAATCTGAAAAAATACATATTGGGAGCAGAGATAGGGCAATCCATTAAACAATCATTTCAATGAATTTCCAAGATAAACTTCGAAAAGGAATGAATAGAATATGCTTTACCTGATTTAATAACCATAATAGAAATATATAGGGTCCTTGGTACAGCCCTATTTAGACTTTAGAAGTTCTCAGGCTCATCTCTTAAGCCAGCCAATCAACAGGCATATATATACTGCATCATCACTCTAGCATAAAAATAACACCTCATCTTAAGTATACTTCCTTTTCTTACTGTTTTCACTTTTGTTTCACCCTTCTACATTCTCTCAGGGACAAGAATTAAATATCCAAGAATGAAATAACTGAAATATGTAAAGCAGGAAGAAAGTTATGGAGTACTTTGGAAACTCCACTACTAAGACTCCAATTGCAAAGTGGATTTGTAACAGTTTAAAAGTCCTATGCATATTAGAATGTTCTACAATAAGATACCTCAATTTATTTTGTTCTTCTGTCAAAGTGTTTAGAAATGCACAGAAAAAAAACCCACCACAAAAACAGTAGTAAATCCACCCTCTGAAAATCTCTGATACTATTTTAGTGAACTTTCCCTCTAGGGTTTTCATTGCTTCTATTTTAAGGTATGCAAATCAAAAAAAAAAAAAAGAAAGAAAAAAAAAGGTAAAAGCTAGTTGTTGACTCCAACACAAGCTTCAGTCATGACACCGTATTTGTAACAAAAATATCCTACTTCCCCCTCCACTTCTCTGGAACTCACATGCTGAAGACAAATGGTGTTTATCTTCTTCCCACTAAATTCCTGCCCATTTAAAATCCAAGTGATCTTGACATCCCTTTTCCAACTACATGCACATGAAACACAGTAGTGAGCTTTCTCAGTGAAACTGCTTATCATCCATACTCCACTGCTGTTGCTAGAAGTAACTTTGACTTCTACATACAAACCTTGGAGGATGATTGGCATCAAATAGTGTTGTATCATCATCATCATCATCTTGCTCTAATGGGGTTAGCTCCATGTTTTCTATGTTTGTATCCAAAACGCCGTACCTTCGGGTTTTTCTGCTTCGCCTTCTGATCCTGAAATGTATTTTAAAACACTTAAGTTCTATAAAACTATACATTCTTCTCTACTTTCTATTCCCACAATGTATGAACACTATCCCTTAAAATATAACTGTATTGATACTTGTCATGAATTTCTAGAAAAACATAGTGTATGTAAAACGTACATACTTAGGTGTAAGAAATTCAGAGACCAAACAATTCTAAGTGCCAAGAGCTAACTTGAAATATTTAAGGCCAGTAAGTAACCTTATCTAGGTGTTCCTGCTCCGCCAGGGGATTGGACTAGATGATCTTTTGAGGACCCTTCCAATCTCTAGCATACTGCGATACTGTGTATGTTATTTGTAGTTTTGAGTAGGATTACTGTAGTGGATACAAAAAGCCTAAACAAGCACTTCATGGCTAAATGCAAGAGCCAGTGAAAAATGGCCAGTTAAAAGTATGCAAAAGCATACTTTTAGCGGATTCTACAATAAGCAACTGGCTCTAGGACAAAAGCACTCCCAGATATTCTAGACCAGAAATTAATTTGAACACAAAATAGGAAATGAAGGCAAGGAAGTTCATGATACTTATATATTCAACATTCCTGTTACCTCACTATATACTTTACTTTTTACTTAATGGTGTAAAAAAGAAAGTGAGTCCCTACTTTGAGTTGAGAATAACCTAGAGACAGTCACAGCAAATGTCCAGATTGCCGGTAATGAAAAAAAAAAAATCTTATCAGAAGGCTGACACAAATTTCTAGGTTCAAATGAATGCTGCTCAGAAAGCGATAAAAGGAATTGTGAAAACTTTATATACAGATTAGTCAAAAGACTAAGGCTAAAAGAATAATGGAAATGCTTACGCAACATACATGGACATGGATAGTGGGATCGAGTGTGCCCTCAGCAAGTTTGCTGATGACACCAAGCTGTGCGATGCAGTTGGCACACTTGAAGGGATGGGATGAGATGGGATGATATCCAGAGGGACCACATGTGAGAAGTAGGCCAATGCCAACCTCATGAAATTCAACAAGGCCAAGGGCAAAGTCCTACAGCTGGGCCAGGGCAATCCCAGGCAGAGCTACAGGTTGAGTGGAGAAGAGATGCAGTGCAGCTCTGTGGAGAAGGCCTCGGGGGTGCTGGGTGACGAGATACTGAGCATGATACAGCTTCAGGGCGCAGTTGCAGACAGATACCGCTCATGTCCTGGCCTGCATCAAAAGGTGCATGACCAGCAGGTTGAAGGAGGTGATCCTGTCCATCCACTTTGCTCTCATGAGACCCCACTTGGAGTATTGTTTGCAATTCTGGTGTCCAGTCGTGGTTTAAGCCCAGCCGGTAATTCGGCACCACGCAGCTGCTCACTCACTGCATTACTTAGCAACAACTAAAAATATTAGTGTGTTACCAGCATTGTTCACAAACTGAAGTCGAAAACACAGCACTGCACTAGCTGCTAAGAAGGAGAAAAATAACTGTTACAAGTGAACCCAGGACATGTCCTCAACACATGAAGGACACGGAGCTGTCGGAGCAAGTCCAGAGGAGGGCCACAGGAATGGTAAGGGGGCTGGAGCACCTCCCGTATGAAGACAGGCTGAGAAAGTTGGGGCTGTTCAGCCAGCAGAAGAGAAGCAGCCTTCCATGATCTGAAGGAGGCCTATAACGAAGCTGGAGAGTCTTTTCATCAGGGACTGTAGCAACAGGACAAGGGGTAATGGGTTTAAACCTAAACAGGGGAAATTCAGGTTAGATACAAGGAAGAACTTCTTTACTGTGAGGGTACTGAGGCACTGGAACAGGCTGCCCAAAGAAGTGGTGAATGCTCCATCCCTGGCCGTGTTCCAAGGCCAGGCTGGACAGAGCCTTGGGCAGCACGGTCTAGTGTTAGACGTCCCTGCCTGTGGCAGGGAGGTTGGAACTAGACGATCTTAAGGTCCTTTCCAACCCTATCGATTCTATAATTCTACGAATGGACATAGCTCATAGTTCAGGAAGCACTCAAAGTGAGGCCAGAGCATCACTGAATATAGTGAGATAATCACCTCCTTTGATTGGTTGGCCATGCTGTGTTTTATGCACCCCGAGATGCAGTTTGCACTCCTGGCTGCCAGGGCACACTGCTGATTCATGCTGAGCCTGCTGCTGAGCAGCATCCTCGATCCCTTTCTGCACAGCTACTCCAACCACTCCTCTCCCAGTTTTCACTTGTGTCCAGCATTATTTTGTACCAGGTACAGAATCAAGCCCCACTCACTACAATCCTCTGAGCACTGCCATTCAGCCACTTCCATCACCCAGCATATCATAAACCTGTTCATCCCACATCTGAGCAATTCGTCCAGAAGGCAACCATGAGGGTTAATATCATAAGCCTTACCAAAATGCAGAAAAACTACACCCACTGCCTTCTCTTCATCCACTAGGTGAAAGTTTGAAAAAACCCTGAAGCTTTCATGTCTGACAACAACATGCATGGTTTCATTCTAAGAAAATCTTTAAAGATGAAACTGGGAAGTTTGTACTTCATCCGTAAATTTCTTATACAACTGTGAAAAATATTTCAGCCTCAAGTTCAAATTAAAAGCATATGCTTCATCTACTCCCAATTTCAGAAGCTAGATTCAACAGAAAAATGCATCAGAATTAAAGAATAACAGGACAACCACAACTTACTTTACACAACCTTCCTGTTTACAGTAGCATCTCCAGGCAATGCTCCAGTTTCAAATAATGAAGAGCAACCTTCCTATTGCCAAACCAGAATATCCAACAATTGCAACTTAACCAGAAAATAATAGTAGTAGGTGAGAATTTCCTTCTCCAGTTTCTGCAATGAACTTTCCATAATACTACTCAGAACTCCAAATCTTAGGGGGTACAGGAACACTGAGAAGTGCTCTTGCCTACTTTCACTTGCTTATGTTTTTTCCTTAAAGATATACCATCCAGATACAGATTCTAAGAAAAATAAAGATCTAAGCCTGCTCAAGAGCTACAGAGCAATTGGGATATCCTAGCTTACGTGGACTGCATGTCTTAAATTAATGTCCACACAGACCACTGTCTCTCAACTATCTTTCTGGAATACATGACAAAGGTACTGAACATACACCAGTGTATCTAACTACAGTGAAAAGTACAGAGAGAACTTGCTGCATACTGAATGTACTTTATGCATAATCACAAATTGGGGCTCACCCAGAGGAGTTCACAGTCTGAGCATGACAGGAAGTAAAACTCAAGAACAACAAAACACTGTGACAGGCACCGCAAGTAACTGAAAAATTGAGTTATGCAGTCAGTAGTTTCTATGATAAAGGCAGATGACTGACAGTCCATGCTTTTTAAGGGACCTTTCCTTAAGACTGTGTGAAATAGAGAAGTTAATAAAAAAATAGTAAGCAGAAAAGAAATATGTTTACTGACAAAAATATATGAACAAATCCTGGAGCTCAGTGAGACAGAAGTTTGCAAACGGGACAATAACTCAAAGAATGTACAAAACTAAGTTCAGGATGTCACTAGTGACATGTCCTCTTGAAGAGGGCAGGAGGGAGCCACAAGGCCCGACAACGATGAGCGGTAACCCTTCCGACAGCAGGATCAGGCTGTGCCTTTCCCCCGGCATTACCCAGACGCCCCACCCGGCGGCGCTGCCCGGAGCAGCGGATCTAGGCCCAGCTCACCGGCCCCCATGAGGGAGCCGAGGGGATCCCGACAGCCAATATCGCCGGCCGGGCCCGGCCCCACAGCAGCCCGGTGGGGATAGCAGCGCCTGCCGCGCCCGCCCGTCCGCTCCCCGCAGCACCGATGGAGCCGGCGCGGCCCGCTCCCTCACCGCACGGTCCGGATTACGAAGTAGACGATGAGGGCGGCGCTGGCCAGCACCAGCACGGACAGAGCGCGCTGGGTCATGGGCTGGCGCTGCTCGGGCGGCCCCGACACCTCGGCCAGGCGACTGCTGCTGCTGCTGCGTGTGGCGGCCCCGCCGGCCACCTCGGTGGGGAGCGGGGAGGCGATGTTGGCACTCCGGAGGTGAAGGGCCTCCGCCGCAGCCTCCCCGCAACGGGCGGCTAGCAGCAGCCCCGCCAGCAGCCAGGGCAGCGGCGGCGGCCGCATATCAGCCTCTGCTCCTGCCCGGCGCAGGCCTCCACCACCGCACCCCACAGTCCGCCGCGGCCTAAGCGTGGCCGGGCCCTGCCGCCGTCTGGCCGCCGGAAGCGGAAGCACTGTTCGCCGAGCTCCCGCTGCTGCCATGGGAGCGGGTGGAGGCTTGGAGTGGCGGGCTCTCCCGGCAGCCGGCGGCAGCTGGGGATGCTGCTGGTTAAGGGCAGTTAAGCAGAAGGAGGGCTAGGAAAATACTAGTGCCTGAAGGCTGAGACTACAGTTTTTGTTTCAGTTGAGGCCAAATGGTGGAAAGATCAAATAGTCGGTAGGGGTGGAAAGGCCCTCTGGAGATCATCCAGTCCAACCCCCCTGCCAGTGCAGAGCAATCTGGAGCAGGTCACACAGGAACATGTCCAGAGAGGGAGATTCCACAACCCCCCCGGGCAGCCTGTACCAGTGCTCTGTGCCACCCTCAACATAAACAAGTTCTTCTCTCTGAATATAATTTGTTGAGGTGAAACTTGTGTTTTAGTTTATGGCCACTGCGCCTCGTCCTGTCTCTAGGCACCACTGGAAAGAGCCTGGCCACATCCTACTGACACCTGCTTTTGAGATACGTATATGCATTAGATACATCCCCTCTCAGTCTCTCTTCTCTAGGCTAAACAGGCCCAGCTCCCGCAATCACTTCTCATAAGAGAAATACTCCAGGCCCCTGATCATCCTTGTGGCGCCACTGGACCCTCTCCAGTAGCTCTTTGTCTTGTACTGAGGAGCCCAGAACTGAATGCAGTTCTTCAGATGTGGCCTCACCAGGGTCTAGCAGGGGGGGAGGATCACCTCCCTCGACCTGCTGGCCATGCTCCTCCTGAGGCACCCCAGGACACTCTTGACCCTCCTGGTCACAAGGGCAGACTGCAGGCTCATGGTCAACTAGTCACCAATACTCCCAGGTCCTTCTCAGCTGAACTGCTCTCTAGGAGCACTTGGGGAAAGCGGTTGTGTCTCAGCGCACCACAACCAAAGGTCATGGAGCAGTCAATGCGTTTTGAAGCTGGTGGACATTCATGGACATGTAAGACAGATTAACGCTTTGTACAAAGTCTGACCATAGTGATTATTATGTTGGTGTCACACACGTTCCGTAAATATGCTGTTCCTTAAATGCTGTTCTGGTAGGATAGCCCTTTAACCATTAAAGTCAATTGTTAATTTTCTTTGGCTTCTGTTTTATGAACAGTACAGTGAGGCTTTCAGGGGACAGTTGTGCATAGAGAACAACTATGCACACTGGCACTCAGTTCTTTTTCATTTGTCATGGTGTAAAAGGAAATGGATAAAAAGCCAAGGTAGCAAAGAAGCCTTGTACAATATTTCTGCAGTTTAAGTAATGGGTAACAACCAGATTTGGTGTATGAGAAGACCTGTTTTGATACCGCAGAGCCCTTAAATTTTTCTGTTTATCAATCACACTGGATCGTGTAAAATCATGTATGGATAATTTCAACAGTGAAAATACACTATTAACAAGTTAATTGTTAACTTGGAAAACAAGGTCTTATGTCACACAAACGGGACAGAATTTGGAAAGGGTGAAACTGTTTTGTATAACGTGCCCTTTTAACTATCATCTGTATGTCTTCCATTTGAACAAACATTGTCCTTTTAATGAAAATATTGTTTCAGATACTTTGACCAGCAGTTTTTTTAGAAAGTGCCATAAGAAGCATGTGGATAAGCTTTCTTGATAGCTTTTTACGTCATTAATAACCTCTAGAACTTGACTGATTGAGGTCTTCACCCCTGCAGTTTCTGTCAGGCTTCTTCCCCATGAATTCCCTTGGGGTGTGTTTCTTCCTGACAAGTCCAAGTGTTTGCCTTCCAGCCTTAATACTGAAGAACACGTTACATTCAAAAGTCAAGGTGTAATGCTTTCAGAACGTCAGTCACTGATGTTAAACTGACCTAAAAAATTGTCAATGATGCATGGGTTGTGTAAGATGTGTAAGATGAGGGAAAAATTGTCTTGGTCAGTATAGATGGCTTAATGTTCTAACTTTTTTAATGTCCATATTTGCAAAACTATCCTTTTTAAACTAGGGGTTTCAGTGATGTATGGGCAGGGAAAGTTGCTTTTTGAAGTTTTTTTCTAGAACAAAAAGCTAGTGCTTTTATTTCAGCAAGGTGAAATAATTTCTGAACTTTCAGAATAAAAAGTACAGAATTTATGTTCTTTATTTTAAAACAAATAATTACTGATGTCTTTGTAGACTTCTTTGGGGTTTTTAATCATTGAAATGAATAGATTTTTTTTTTTGTTTAATATTTAGGTCAACTATAAATAAATTTCAAGTTTGTATGCAGAAATTTTCTTCGAGAGTGCTATAAAATACTTCTTCAATGAAGCGTGACATAACTTTGAACCTGCATGTGGAAATTGATTTGACAATAATAGTTAAGTTTTTTAAGTTTAGTTGCCTGTTAGCAATTGTTGTGTAATTTATTGCTTGGAGCCAAAGACAGAAAAGAGGATTAAAAACAAATGGTAACATTCTGTGATCATCCTGGTGTACAGCAGCTTTTAAAAGAGGTGTCCTAGGTTTACTTTCCTCTGTTCTGTGTGTAAACTTAGAACTTTCCTTACATATGAAAGAAATAAAGAACTTTCATACCTTTTCACCCAGAAGGTGAAAAAACTTGAGTGCCAGTGAAAAACATTGACACTCCTAAATTGCCCATTCAAGTTAATGGAGCTTACTTGACTTTTACCTTTTAGAAAAACAAAATTGGGCATTTTTTTTTTTTTTAAGTTCCTTCAAATAGGCCTTGTGGATGAATTGAAAGAGCAGAGAAATTACTTTGCAATATTATGTGAGTGTCAAGGATGTCTGGAAGGAGGCCTTTTCATCAGGAAATGAAATGGTAATCTCGAGAAATATACTTAGGAGCTCTGTATATTCTTTCTCTTTTCTTCTCTTGATAGTTAACTAAAATGTCATTATGAGTTTCCTGATAACTTGTGGTGACAACGGGCACATCTATTTCAGCTCTCAGCCCTATCAGCCTGTTAATGTCATCCTTTGTAAAGTCCTTGTGGAATGACTTTCAGGTGATCTTGAGACATGAAGACAACAGAAGTGATCGTGCTTTTCTGCTCAGATAGAGTGCTGCAGATGGGTCCTCTTCCCCTGTAAACTGTATTGAGTTCTTAAGTCTGAATAGCACTATTTGATTGAGTAGGTGTCCAAACCATGTTCTCATAACTATTATTTATGCTACCTGAGGTCATCATTGTTCAAGTGTATGTATATTTACACTTGCATAGATCATAAATGTTTTCAAACAATCAATTAAAAAAAAGCCTAGTGGTTAATCTGTCCCTTTTCTTTTAAATATTCATTCCCCAGTGATACTCAAACTAAGTACTGCTGCAGAGGACTGCAGAAGAATATACTCTGCAAAGGCATTACAGATACATTTAGTGCAGATACATATATATATATAAATAAATCAATTTAAAAAAGAGAAAGGAAAAGTGGTGCATTTCACGTTTATGTAGTGTTAGCTGGAGATTGGTCTCTGATTTTTAGAATGTATCTGGGTGCCTCTTTAGGTAGGTGCCTTTAAAGATCTAGCTATTTAGGTCTACATCATTGTTATTTTAAATGTCTTCAGTAGCTCTGGACCAAACTATTTCCGCTATTGCACATAAAGAAGGCTTTGTGAAAAAGACAGTATGATTTCCTGTGTGTAAAAGTAGTATCTAGAATCTGAAGGTAAGCAATCATTCCAAAATTTGAGAAAACAGTGTCTAAAGTATGTTTTGAATGGTATTCTGGTGGTTTATGCAGACATACCTGAGGGGATATAGGATGGCTTTTCCTCTACGTTTGTAATTACAGGGCCAGAAACTACTGTGGCTGGTAGCACTGAACTGCACAATTCTGTGGTGTTCTTATCATTGTATTTCTGCAGAAAATGTTTATCATCATTAAAATAATCGATTGTATTTCTGTCTAAACTTTAGATAAAATGTCTTGAAGTATTGGAGGAATCTCATTGTCTTTAATATTATATTTTCATGTTTGTTTATTACCTATTTTCCTAATAATGTCAAAAGGCTCTGGTAGTGCCAGGATCAATTTCTTGTGTTTAAGAACAAGAAATACTGTTTTTTGTTGTAAATCATAAACATATGCTTAGGAATATATAACATAAGTTTAAATTCTTTTTGGAATAGAATGGGGTGATACTTGCTAATAAAACCAAAGCATTTTATGTATTTTGATTTCTTATTTTAAGCAGGAGAATAACAGTTAACAATAAATGTTGCTTTTTAATAGTGCTTTTGTAAAATTGGGTTGCCAGATACTATCTGCTTTTAGTATAATGGCAAATTACTGAAGGTAGGCAAGATATTTTAATTTGTTTCAAAGAAGAAATCGGTTTATATATGTCTATAAAAAAATCAGTTGTTTGTAGCAGCAGTAAATTGGTATAAGGATTTTAAAATTAGTTCTTATTACTGGTCTGAACAAATGTTTCTGTGGAAGGTTTACATCTGCATCAGTGTCTTCCAGTGTTCTAGTGAACAGTGTTTTTCTTTCATTACTATCAAATTTATCTTTAGATCCATCAGCTTCCAGCAGAATCTAGGCTGTTTACCCATGTATGGAAGCAAGAAGGGGTCATGATTTTTATCATGCATTGTTATATGTGATCTATCACAGTCTATTACTACTTAGCTTTTCTTGGCTGAATTATCTAAATCTGTGGTTCCTACATGTTTTGAGCGTATGGACCATTCCAGCTTCTTCCTTTGTCACAGAGATGTAGTGAAATTCCTAGAGGTGCTTTGTATCAGTTGGAGGGTTTGAGGTTTGGGCTTCAAAATACTGGTACTGCTTACCATTTTAATTGTGTCCTAAAAGTATAATGTATCTTTTTCACAGATTTATGTTTATGACTGTCTCATTAGACACAAGAATTTTATCCTGATGTCCACATGCATGAGTACTCTCTTGACTTACATGATTATTTGCATTTTAAAGTAGTATGTTTCTGAAAGTTTTGTGTTTTCCTTGCTTGCATTCTTCCTCGCAAAAGCATCAAAATTTCAGTATGTTCCCTCAGTTGAGAAGTATACTGTTTAGGGCTTTAGTATTCTCCCAAAAG